AGATTCTACACCTACTTCTTAACAAAAAAAATTGACTCATTTGATGCTCTAAATCATGGTATACGTTATGTCACTGACTTCTGAATCACCCTGTACATATGTATATATATGACGAACTAACTACACACCGTTTATCATCTCCATTTACATTTCTTTTAGCCGTTAGTACGTTTCTTTAAAATAATATTCTACAATTAATTCCCTCACAAGAACTTTCATTGAGAATCAAATATGGAATCAAATTTTAATTTTGTAAAATTAAAAATTCCACATAAGGCTGTTCAAAATTTAAATAAATTAATTTGACCTGAAAATAAATTTAAAATGCAATTCCTATACAGTTGAATTTGTTAATAATTAAGGATTCTTAGAATCATTGTCAAATTAAAGGAGATCATTTGTGTCAGAGATTCATTTCAAAATTTTATTACAAAATTTGAAACAAAAAAGCAAAGGGGTAATATTAAAATTATATTGTGAAGTTATATTGTGAAATGAAAAATATGTTATGTTATACTATGGTACATATATTATTTTTTATTTACAAATTATATATACATACATTACATACATACATAAATATAGATTTAACATAATAATATCAAATATTTGGTTTTTAGGAAAATATTACATTCAGTTCTTCAACATATTGAGTTCTTCAACAGAAAAAATTTTAATAAATATGTACATTATATCGTTTTACAAAGGTAAGAGTAACATTTTCCATTTTTAGAAATAAGTATATATTTTTGAAAATAACTATAATTCTTTACAGTATACCCGTTGCATTCTACTAGATGTACATAATATTATAAAAGAGGATTTAAAATTGCATATTGTAGAAAATTTAATTGCATTTTCCAACTAAATATTTTTACCCAGTTTAAAAGAAAGAATTCATTATAGTCATTAGCAACATTTTTTATCGTAAAAGATATACTTTTGAATGTTGCTACGGTTGTATATTATCGTAACTATAATATTTCACTCAAAAAAATTTAAAAAATTTTGAATCTAACAAAACCAGAATATTTAGCAATATATTCATGTTTCTATACGTCCCATATTGTTTCTAAATATTTTTTAAATGTAAATAAATATTTCGTACACTCAGAGAAATTTTAAAGATTAAATAATTTTTATAATAAAATTTTATTGTCAATTTTATAATTGAATTTACTTTGACCAAACTTAAGTCTTATTATAAGTGTTTAATACATTATGTTATCAGATGTCCTATTGCATGATATGAATGGTGAAGCTCGGTGTGTGGGAGTTATTCCAAAAGAAAATATGTAAAAGATGTTGAGCAATAACTATAAGCAATTTTATTGAAACTAAATTTAAGAATAGCTTTTTAAACGACACTATTTGAAGTTTTTCGTTTATAACTAGGATATTTTTCCTTTTAATATTATTAAAGGCGTACATTTCAGTTGTGCATAAGCCTTTCCTAAACCCGTTATTATTTATAACATTGTTAATGAATAGTTTAACACATTTAATCCAATAGATGGCTTTATTTTTTAATATGGAAAATAATAAAGCCATAATTTTCGATGTTACAAATTATACAAATTTAATAAAACTAATTTTTAACTCTACCAGAAATTTCACATTGAAAACAAAATCCTTTGGTAAGTACATCAGTGGAAACTACATACTAACTTACTAAAAAATATGAATGTTTAAAACAGTTATTTATGAGCATTGTACTGTTGTACCTATAGCACAACAAGACATAATCATAATATTAAATGACTAATTTTGTCTTAGATTTTCATTCTGTCTGCAAAATAATAATTTTTATTTGCTCAAATGCATGTAAACATTTAAACGCAAAAATAACGCAAGATGTCTCTTCAATCATTAATTAAGAAAAACACGAAACGGTATATGAAATAAATTCCCTTAAATAAAGTTAGTCCATTTTTTTACCATGAAAAATAAACAACCTTTTGTAGAAATTTTTAACATATCTATATACATACTTACATACAAAAATTACATAATAATAATTGTATTGGAAAATAACACCGCATTATACGAAAAAAAAAATTAAATAAGAAGAGATACATATATGTATGTATGTATATTATGTTGAACACATTCATTGACACAGACATATGTATTTGTACATACATAAAGGTACATTTTACATAAGGGCAGATTGTATACAAAATATTAAAAACTTAAAATTTTTACAACAATATGAGACATAAATGTTGTTGTTCAAATGCTTGTCAACATATTTTAAATTAAAATATTGACAAACGTTTTGTTTAGATAATTAGCTATATATACTATATATTTCACAGCTCAACTGTGTGGGCTATCTTAACTATATTAACTATTTATGCTCTTTGTAATAATAGCACTCATAATCTCGATATTTAAGTATCTTTTTTCCGACATTTCTTTTATTCTACCAAAAAATATTTTATTTTTTCTTAATTTTGTTTACAGTTTTTTCAATGGGAGTGACTTTTTTTTTAATTATTATCCTAAGTAAATTTTTCAATACGAAAATTTCCTTTTTTTTTTTTAAATTGTTTACAAAATTTTATATTGTTAAAAATACCGCAAATATAATTATGTTGACAAACATTTTAAAATATTTTTCGATACATCACATGTAGCTCTTTTTGTTTGCACTACGTAATATTTATTGTATAGCGAATAATGTTGATGAACGCCCTTTATAAACAATTTTCTTGAAAAAAACTACAAAGAATAAAATCAAATATTTTATAATCATAAAAGTTATTGTTGACTATCAAACCATCTCTTTCTAACTACATTTTTTTCGAAATAAGATAAAATGAAATGACAGTAGTTCCCTTAAGACACATATCCATATTATATATATATATTATTGCTAAACATTTTGTATTTAATGTATTTCAAAGCGCTGAATTCATTTTAAAAATTTTTGTATACTTTTTGTTCTTTAGAAAAATTTCCCATTTTTAACGTTTAAATTTTCAATATAGTTTTCATGTTGTTAGGTTTTTTGTGTTTTGCATCCAAAAAAATAAAAGAATCTAATAGTTTATTATTTTTCCTTTTTTTTTGTTGTTAAGAAGGAAAGAAGAAAAGCTGAACCGTTTTCGAATATTTTTTTGGTTAGTTCATCTGTTTCGCTCCCGTTGTTCGTTTGGTTTTTAATTTTGATCCGTGGTGGAGTTTTTTTGTGTGTGACAGATAATTAAAAGAATAAAGAAAAAAAATTTATATTATTCTGTATATATATATATACAATATGTAGTAAGAAAGAAGCAAACATACACATACACGCATAAATATTTAAATGCATATTTGAAAAAATACACAAGTTTTTTCAATACTATTTATTTTTTTTATTATTTTTTCTTCGTTTTATAAATTAAGAAAAAAAATTAAATAAAATTTACATAGATAGTTTTCATGTTGGTTTTTCTTAAACTTCTGTTTTTTCAATAAATAATATTAATAGAAAATTAATAAAATTATCTAAATTTTGTTCCTTGTAAAAAAAAAGAAGAAAGTGAAATTTTATAAATCTATATGTACGCATATACATAACTACATAAAAAATATATTTTTTTAAAGAAATTGTTAAATTTAATCAGAGAATAAAATTTTAATAAAAAAAGGCAAAAAAATCTTTCACACACTCTCTTAAACTCAGAACATAAAATAAAATTATATAAAATTGCATTATAGTAAAGTATATAACAAACTCAAAGAATATAATTAAAAAAATTAAATTACACAAAATTTTGTAAAAATAAAAATTATGAATATTATACGGATTCTATTCCATTTCTTTTCATGTATATTAACGTGTTAGCTATTATATTATAACACTACAATTGTATATAATATTAAAGAAAAAATACGAAAAGAATATTTTATTTAATATAATATTAAAAAAGAAAAATTGAATGAAAAAATCGATTCTAAAGGATAACAAATATATAATATACACTATGTAAAAATATATATATATATAGACATATAAACGAAAAACATTAGTAATTGCTTGGCTTATATTTGTATATACGTATAGATATAATAATAAAATATATATTTATATATATTTGTGTATGAAAATATTAATATCGTATCAAATATAAAGAGAAGGTTTCATTCAGAGTCAAAATAAAAACAAAAAAAGAGAAGAAAAAAAAAATATATTTATGTATTTTTATCGTATATTCCGGGAGTTTCTTTGCACACATAATTGTATAATATTCTCTTGCAAAAATAATTCTAAAATTCTAAAATATTAAAATATGCGTAATTTATATTAATATTAAAGAAATTATACTAATGAAACACACACAAGATGTAAGTACTAGAAAACAAGAAAATTGAGAATTTTAAGAAGTGTTAAATTTAAAAAAAAAATAAAACAAAAAACCATAATAAATAAGAAACATCTAACCTCAAAATAAAATTTTTTCTCTTTTTAAAAAATACTATAATTAAAAAATAATTTGATTCACTATATAAAAATCTCCGTTTTTAAACACACACACATGAAAACATATAAAAAACAAAATGTACAATACAATTACTTAAGAGAAAAATCTAATTATTTCTCTCTCATTCTCTTAATTTTTATAAAAATTGTTATTTAATTTTTGTTTTCATTCTTCTTAATATTCAGCAATAATGATTAAACACAATAATTTCAATTGAAATACTTATTTAAAAAAAAGCAAAAAAACAGAAAAAGCAAATTTATAATTATTTTTTTCATTTCTCTCTCTCTTTTTTTCATAATATAATTATTATTAAAATTTAATATCATTATCGATTTATTTAAAATCATTTATTATTAACAAAATTAACAAAAGTATTTCAATAAATATTAAAAAAAATTAAATTATTGTATAACAATAAATAATATGATTTGTTATACTGAAATTTACATATACTGAAAAAAAAATTGTTCTTTTGTATAAATTCATAATTAAAATGAAAATGACCGAATATTAATAATTATGAATATAATAAGTAAGACTCAATAATGAAATGAAAAAACTGAAAATAAAATTTATTTTGAATATTTTTTTAATATAAAATATATTAATATAAATCACATGAATATACATAATTAAAAATGAAAAATTTAAAAATTAAGTTCCGTATAACTAAAAAATAGTTTTTTTTTTATTTTTGTTTTAAAATAATAATTAAAAATGTAAAATAACAAATTTAAAATTAATTAATATTAAAAAGAACCATACAAGTACAGAAATGAATACTAATAATGTTAATTATATAATTAAAGTTTTCAATAAAATTTTATTTTGAAAGGAGAACAAAATATAAAAACATAAAGAAAAACAAAATTTTACAATTTATTAAAAATGGGATAATGGCAGAAATTAATACAAAATTAAATCAACAAAGGACTATTAAAAATGAGAAGTCAACTAATTTTGAGGATCTTATTATTAACATAATTAAGGTTAGATATACTTAGTATACTTACTTATAATAAATTATTTTTTAAATTTATTTTTATTTAAATATACTTAATAATTAAAATTTTTATGATTGCAAGTGTATTATAGACCAGCTCGGAGATAACAAATAATTTATTGAATTTAAGTTTCTATGGTACATAGTACATGTGCAAACATGTACTATGTAAACATATATATATATATATATATATATATATATGTATATATGTTATGCATATAGTATTATTATTTATTAATTACGAATTGCAATTTTTATTATAAAATATGAAATGAGATTTACGAGTACCAATGAATATTTTTATATTGAGTATTAAACTTTTCATAAAAAAAATCCAATCTCTGTATAATTGCGTGCATTTTTAATTCTCTTAAAACACAATTTTAAAAATTAAAATTCATTTTATGAAAAATAACCAATTTTTTTTAACTTATTTTTTATTTTTCATTTCGTGCAGCAAAAATGTTGTACTTTTTATAATATTTTTCTCTTCATAATATCCTTTTTTATTTCGAATTTCACATCAGGTCAGGATATAAAATTCCTTCCTAATTTTTATTTGTTGTTTTTTTTCGGGTGTTGCCTAATTTCATTTTTGAAAATACTAAAACATTGCTGTGATTCTACCCAAAAATCATTATTTCAAAAAACGAAAAATAAGGATAATAAAAAATACGAAAAAAAAACGACTGTATTTTAACAAAAGGAAACAAAAAGAAAAAACGTAACAAAAATAAAAATTGTAAAATTCTTTTTAAGTAATTCTTGAATTAATATTGAATGTGCTACATATACTTATCTCTTTGTGTATACTTAGAATATTAATCTTGTTAAGGAAATTTATAATAAAAAAAATCTTATTATTTTTTACTTCATTCCGTTAAAGAAGCAAGGATATGAAAAGAAAAATTGTTTTGGGAAAATAATTGAATTTATATTTAAATATATTGTTATGCTTAATGTATATGTATTAAATTTTCCGGTATTCTTGCATATTATACTGCTTACATATTTAAAACTAAAAAGAAATTTAGTTAGATTTTCGTAAAAATATTCATACTTATATTTGATCAAGTTTTCTTTTGGTTTCGCTGTATTATAATTGTTGTGCATTCTCAACCGCATTATAGGTATGAAAAGTAATTTTAAGTTATCGCAACTAAATATATCGTATTCAATTAAGTAATTTGAGTTAGAATTATTGGTAATTTTTAATATACAAATATAATAACTACTAAATTTAAGTATAATTTTTTTAATTAAGATTAAAAATTTATATAATTAATCCCAACAATTTCGCAATGCATAACATTGATTTATGTATTTCTACTATATATAATTCATTACGAGTGCGCACCACTTTTCAACTGTAATAGTAGAAAGAGCTTATTTCGTTAATTAAAATCGGCATTCTAAAAGAGAGGGTTTTAAAGAATTTTCTTTATACTTTTATTTTCATATATTCGTCGCTTACAATACTCAATTAAATATTGCAAACTCCAAATCATGGTGAAATTAAACAAAATAGGGTCTTTTTTAAATAAGTTCATACTTACTTATGTTTCAACAAATTTTGTAAAATAAATTTGTAATTTATTTTTCGATAATTGAAGAAGATTTAAAGTCGAAGCGAATAAGTATTACATAATTTTTCTTTTTGAATTATAATTATAAATTAACAATAAAAAATCTGTTATACAGTTCTAAATTTATACTATTCATAACAACAATCGAAACTTTTTATTCATAAAACAAAGTCCACCCGTATAGACTTAACATAACATATTTAGCGCTAAATATAGAAATTTTCTCATTTCCTTTAAGTTTCGCTTCTTATTTATGCCGAACAATCATGCAATTATTTTTTGGCAATATCTTCAAAATAATTAAAATTACTATTTATTAATTATATTAAATATGAAAACTTAAAAAACATATGAATTTAATTACTTACTTGATTATTAATGAATTAATGTGAAATTCAAATATGTTTTTAATTAATTATACTTTTATAAAATATTATTTAAATTTCCTACGCTTCGTATATGAATCTACTCTTTACATTTGAGTTGAATTACTTATTTTGTATTATGTGGCGAGATTTTGTGTCAAAAATATTTTTGAATTTGTATTTTTCATGATTATCAAACATAATTCCACTATTAGCTAAATTCAATTTAAAGCGGATAAAATTTTGCAATAAAAATAAAATTTATAATAAGTATTTAATTAAATTAATAAGTAAGTAAGTATATAAAATAATTTAAAAAAAATTTTTTTTATTAAAATGCTGAAAAAATTTTGTGGTTTTTTGAATTTTGAATTGAATACAATTTTTAAAAAAAGGGATTCTTATTTCATTTAATTATTTAAACAATTTTGTATAACTTTGGTTAACCTTTGGAATTTTTTCAAATTAATTAAATATAATTTAATTTAATTTAGGTATATTATATAAATTATAATTATAGAAAAAATTTAAATAATTACATATATAAGTTTATAAGCTGTATATACACATGTACATGTATTTAAATTTTAATAGGATTCTGTTGCTATTCTTTAATTTTTAAATAAATATAAGTTATTAAGTTTAATTTACAGGTATAAAATATAAGATCCAAAACTAAACTAAGCCCTATTGCATACATTTTTAAAGTACACTGGCAAATTTTTTGATTAACTGTTTTAAAAAGTGGGTTGTTGCAAAAGTGTTAAGTAATAATAAATTGCTCCTTTTATACTTAGATATCCGAACATTGTCATTTAGAAATGTATACTCGTACAAGGCTATAACGAATCAAAAAATTTCACTCAAAATGAAAAAAAAACTTCTTGCTTTTTTACTAGAAAGTTAACACTTTCTTTGAAAATATTTGATGAATGAAATTTTACTTTAATGCGAATACTGACAAAATCTCGGAAACGCAGTTTTCTGTTTCTTTGAAATCTGGGATCTAAATTGATAATATATAAACATAATATATTCTAATAATACATGATATTTTCTCAACAAAAGTACTTAAGTATATTAAATTTATTATAATAATATATTATAGAAATGTAGATCACCTAAATTTATCCAAAAATTTTTTAATTCACACAATTATGTATGATGTACGAAAATATATATAAATATGTAGGTACATAGGTATGTACATGCTTTAAGTTAAATCTGCGTTAAATTTTTTCAAATATAGTATCAGTGTAAGAACAATTGCTGGCGACAGTGCTGGCGAAACACCATAAACAGCGAAAACGGCAATTGAGAAACAAATTTCACTTCTTCTTGAATAAAAAATTTTAATTTTTAATACTTAAAATATATTTTTATAATTGAAAGTTTGAATATTGTTTATTCCTTCCAATATTAAGTGTAAACACTTTACTTCCAGAATTTTTATAAGCGATTAAAATTTTATTTTTCATTCTAGTTTCAAGGTATAAGTAGTTAAACAATAATTCTACGTCAAATTTTTCTTACTTAATACTTTAATTTCATTTCGTATATTATTCACATATTTTTTTTAACATTAAGAAAATTAAAGTGATTGTAATTTAAATTTCATAGCACTCTTGCACTGATTTCATTAATTTTTAATTTAACTGTTCCACTTAATATCGTATTCATGGATTTGTTTGATATGTTCATATTGTTATATTTATTTTTATGTTTGTGAGTAAACGTTTTCTTTCTTTCTTTCTATACACATATGTATACGTATATATATCGCGCATTGGTTGTGCTTGAATGAATGTGCTATATATATATATTACAGTAATACCCTGGTTAATAATATTGGATGTATTTCTCCAAACCACATGGAGATGTAGAGTTTGTTGATTTAAAGATTGTAGAGTTCAGTCGGTATTGATAAATTTTTGACATTGCACGTCATATGGTCTTGCCTTGGTAAAAGTTTACATGAAAACGTATATACATTTTGGCAAATAATATTAACCAAAGGAATTTTGAACGGCGTTAGAACTTTTTTTAATTCAAAACCACTAAATTGGACGTATCTAAAAAAAGTGTGTAACATGTGAAAAATAAATATACGTAAGTGGCTATGGGAACTATGGCAATGACTAAGTTTAATGAATAAAAAAAGAGATTTAAAAATTAATTTTTAAAGTTAAAAAAGTGAAATTTTTTTCTTGGTGAAAATTTCTTAAAATGGTCTCAACTAAAACATAAAAGTATTCATAATATTCCAAAATAAGTATATAGAAATCTGCATAGGTGGAGTATCACTGTATTTACACTGACTTGTGTATAAACACTTACTATAGTTATATTTTGTGTAAGTACTTTTATAAGAACTTGAGTATATTTTTACTTACCTCTTTCTTTTTAAATTTTTTTTTCTTTTCTTTATACTTTTTGGCTTACGCCACCATAACACTTTTCTATGTCACTTTGCATATTATAATAAATAATATAGTAAAGTATGTTTTATGTAAATTTTTCTGAAGGTATATTCAAGTGCTAACCATCAAAAAAAAAACCGCTGCGATATTATCAATTATTTATAAAATTTTATAAGTAAGTACTTATCCAATATAAATGGAAGACTCTCTATACTTATACTAAGATTTATTGCTTTTTGTTTCGGTGTACTTACATATGGGTACTTGCATACGTATAACAACACTTACTTTAACTTCTATCAGCAAGTTCTAAATACCCAGCTTCCCTCTTATTGCTCGGTTATATATATTTAAAAAAAAACCCTAGAATCTTTTGGATCAAGTAAAAACTAAGTCTAAGGCAAAATTAAAATTAAATACGACATTAAAATTGGATTGAAATTGGCATAAAAACCAAGTCCAAGTTTATAAATTAAAAATTTAAATTAAAAATTCTTGTTGAATACTTAAAATTATTTTATAAAAGTAAATAATCTTTCGTTTTTTTCAATTTAAATGTTCGATTTTATTTCACACAAAACTATAACAAGTAATTAAAAAAACTTTATTGTA